GTACTTAGAATAAGGCTATTTTTTATTTTCTGGAGCTGTCAAGCCAGCAAGAATGTTATTGTCCCTTTAAGAGTAAAATATTTTGTGCCAGTGTTTATTAATCTCCTTGAAAACTAAATAATTTGTAGTACTGCAATCTGTATGTACATGGACATAATTTATTAAAATTATGCACTTGAAACAGGGTGTTTTTGTTTACCATACATGTACGTATAATAATGTAAGCTTATACATGTATGTACAAGCTTGATGGCCTGTTACTATAAAGGCATTTGGAAACTGCACAATGCCTGTTCAACAAATTTTAATGTTCCTATCAAACATTAAACATACATTACGCAAGAGCTAAATCTGTCTATTGCAGGTCTTTCTTTAGGCCTGAAATATTATCTAAACTATTAATTACACATCAATTAACTTATCCAGACCATAATCAATTCATGAGTTGTCATTGCTAGCCTGCAATATTTACCGGATTAGGATCCAATCTGCTGCTCAACGCCCATTCATGATTAAATTAAGAAATGGATAATCGAGACTGTGTTTTTTATGGTACCAACTTTAGTAATGATGATCGAAGCTAGGCCCAAAATTCAATTGCTAAATTCTCGGTTCAGAGTGGATCAATTTGACTGAAATATTCAGCAAATTCCCTTTACATTATTTAGTTTTTAACTATTATAGTGAGAACTGCCAGCTCTTTATCTAATCTCCCATAATGTATCTTTAACCAATTCTGTCTCAAACTTTGTGCAAATTCTCTTTTGGGGTTAACTTTACACAAACCAGGTCATTTCGGGACAAACATATGATACAATTTTATTCCGATAATTTGCTTGCGCGTATATTAGGGGTCTATAACATAGGAAAACATAGGACCTGGTGAAAATCCACAAGATTAGGCATGCGACTCTACTTAATGTCAAGCAGAGCTCACACTCTCGGTCGCCAAAGCCGCAATTTGCGATAAAAATACGAAAGTGGCGATTAAAATTTGATTTTGGCAATAATGTTTGGCAGTACTTGCGATTCTTTTTGAGAATTGGTGGAAAAAATCTTAAAATTTTAATCGTATTTATCCTGGATTAACCATTATTGAGTGTCAATCACATGGCGGGATGCTATGAATTAATCAACTGGCTGATAATTCGGAGAGAGAGAGAAAATAATTCGGAGAGAGAGAGAGAAATGGGGTTTAACGTCCACTCGACACAAACTAGGTCATTTCGGGACTAACATATGGTTTAATTTTATTTACATAATTCGCTTGGGCGTAGGGGTCTTTAGCAGTGGGAGGAAACCGGAGGACCCGGAGAAAACCCACGAGGTTGGACAGGCGACCCCACTCCTTGCCACGTACAACCGGGGATTCGAAACCACGCCACTGATAATTCGGATCGCACCAATGAGTAATACTGTAATACTAATCAGTTATCTTAGATTAATGATTAGTTGATTGATAATTGCCAACGATATATATTAAACCTTATCTCAAGTCACTTTTTACTCCTAATGATTAACCCAAGCGGTGATTATTTGATGTTTCGTTTCGTCTTAAAAAAAATGGCCGACAGTTTATTTCGAAGAGAATTCAATATTTTGATAGCCGAATTCTGTTTACTGTGGCTTCATATACGGCATGTAATATATACAAGCATGCCTATCGGATATCATTATTTCAAATCATATTATCGCCACGGGTCGAAAACGTAAGAACGAGTTGAATAGTGATGATTCTTGATCGAGAAAATAGTTACCATTTGTTTCATATTACCGTCACAAATATAATTGACATTTATATCATTCTATCAGTGATTCAGATTTTAATACCTTTACGGTACCTGAAAATAACAATAGGCCTATTGTAAACCAACACATAAATCTTTGGAAAATTGGCAATCCTTGAATGAGATTTGACGTGTAAATGCTGAAAATATGTGCAGTACGAACGTTCAAATAGACTAAAGTCACCAAAAATAAAATCTGATCTTATTAAATCCAAACTTTGCTAATCTATTATGTAAAGACGGATTTAAAATTGTTGTATATTGTATTTATATAGCGGTAATTGTTTTATAATCAACCTAGCTGAGGCATAAAATTGTTAGATGTTGTCTTTTTTATCACACATTTTTGGCAGATAAAATATTCTAGTTGGCGGAAAAAAATATGAACATTTTTTTTATATAAAAATTATCACCCATTTAGGCGGAAAAAAATTGAAAGCCAGTGTGAGCCCTGATGTCAAGTACAAGTGTGGGAGTAAAACCCTGCTACGTGACTGAAATACAGCCTTTACAATCAAAATAATAATTCTACTATGTGTATGTGTATTTTGAGCATTTTATTTTTACTTGAATGTGCATAATTATGTAGAAATAGAAATACATGTATAACAACAGTCTCTACGTTTAAATTGTTCATATTTTTTATATATTTGAACAATCTGTCTTGTTCTGTCACTAAATATTAGACTGATCTTACTGCCATAATCGATTATGATGTCAGTACATCTCAAACGCACATTACTGAATGACATCCACATACATGTATTATAACCATCGACCACCTTCTCAAGAATACTCTTTCAGAGGGTTATTCTCCATTGAATAACACACACCCAATGATACATGTACAAAAATATTATAATCAGTGCATTTATATCTCCCTATATCCTCTTATTTAACATACATGTATCTTAATATCCTTTCTGTAATCTTCTATCACACATGTGTTTATGGTAGGTAATTTATCTTCCATCGCTCACAACAACAGTGTTTTCCTGTGCTATACATGTCACATGACAAAATAAACCATGTGTCAGTAATAGTCAGTTAAATGACACATAGAGGATCTATTCTAATACCCTTTCTTCACACAACAAAAGTAAATTGGTTATAATCTGTTGTAATAACCAAACCTTTTAGTTTGCTTTCACACTACAAAAAAAGTACAAAACAGTACAAGTGAATCTTTTTCCAGAACTTTGTGGCAGTTCAATGAATCTGGATTGAAAATATCATCTCCAGCATGATGTAGTTCTTTTAATTTGATATAACCATTTAACTCTGCAGAGTGAAGGCAAACCAAAAGTTAATTGGTTTACTTTTCATGTGATCATCATGTTATCACTAAAAACAAAATTGAGTTAGTGTCATTGCAACGGTTTGTTTTTCGTCATCCAATTAAGACTCTATTTTAATGTCCCAATGGCAATAAGCTATGTGATGTAAGAAGACGGATTTCTGAAGTTAACAAGTTATAATTCATCTTCTGTGACTCCATTTTGCTTGATTTCTTGCAAGCAAGGTCCATGATTATAAAACATGTACCCGGTACCAATTCTTTTGAAAGAGTTGAGAGAGAGGAGGAGAGAGAGTTTAACATCCACTCCACACAAACTGGTTATTTTTGGGACTAACTCAATATGGTACAATTTTATTTCAATAACCGCTTTTGTGTAGGGGTCTTTTAGCAGTGGTGGGAAACCGGAGGGATCTCAAAGTTGGACGGGCGACCCTACTCTTTATGTACATGTACAGACGTGGGATTGAAACCACGCAACTTTACTAAATGACAGACCTAATGATCTAAATCGCACACATTAGATTCGGCCACATAACCACCTTTTGAAAGAGCTTAGATTCTAATGTAGTGTGACAGGCTAGACCAACCGTGTGGTACAACATTTTTTCCAATTCCCAGCGGCATGCTAACAGATTTTTATTTTTACCATTTTCGGACTTGGGTACGTCTAACTCAAAAAATAACAAAGTGACCACATAAATACATGTACATGTATGTTAAAAATCAATTGTAACAAGAATATAATTTCAATTGTTGGTTAAAATACATTTTTTACCCAATAATTAATTGTACCAGATACTGTAAATGTACTTGTACATGTACATGTTCTTACACGTACATGTACATTATTCTAGATGACAAATAATTAATGGAAGAGAATCTTACAGTGTCTTTAAATATTGAACATTCCTTTAGAGCTCAGTAATTTAAAACTGTGACTTGCAATGACAGTTCTTTCAAATTCAAATTCATTTCTTTATTTGAATAGTGAAATTAAATTGCAAACATCCATTTCTGTCATTGCCGATCTTCCATTAGTAACATCCAGAAACATGCACAGGTGTAACTATTTACTAATAATGTCATTCTATTAAAGAATAACTCATGTTCACAGTTCATGTATTTACTTCAAATTAAAATTTGGGTGGATGTTTGAAATACATGTAATGTCACTGATTAAGACCATAACATTCATAGAAGAACACAATATTCAGTATAGATCAATGAATACAAATTAACTGTACATGTAATGATACATAGAAAACAAATTGAAAATGGAAATTCAGCTAGATAGCATTTCACTTTATTTTTAGTTGATCTTCTCTGTTAAAATAAACAATGGAACATTTTGGATCTTTTCTGGGTTTAAGTCTATTGGATTAAAATACACTATAAATAATTTTGACTCCTTAATTCTACTTGTAACAGTTCAGTGCTCAGATTAGTTTTCAATTTTTTATCATATAATATGAAACTAAAGATGAGCATTCATTGTCAAAAAAAAATGTATTCAATTGTTTGAACATTTTAATCTCATGTACCATAAATTATTCCTAATAATGTATTTTTATAAAGAAAGGTGAACCTATGTAAAGTCACTAATGTAAACAGCCTTAGTTTTTTTTATGTGCACATAAAATGATTATCATTTTACAAAACCATAATATGAGTACTATTATATATAAAAATAATATCGGGGAGACTCCCTATCTTTTATTACTGATGTCATGATTTGACACCCAACTATTTAATTACAAACCCCCTAAAATCATTTTTGGTAACAAACGTGATTCTTGGCTGGGCGTTTCCCTTTTTCCAATTGTACACGGCCAATGTTGACGGTGATATTATCAATATAGAACTACTCACATGTGTCGATTCGATTCAATGCCAGCGCAAACTGAATGACCTACCTTCTTATCAACGAAAACACAAGCCAAATCTTTTAAACTTCCCAGAGTTATTTCTCCCTCGAATGTCACCTGCTCTCTGATAAGTCCAATTTGTAAACAAATAGTTAATTTTCCTTTAAGAGAGGTCTCGTCGCCCGACATCTTGTGTGTTGGCCGCGTAAGTCAATTCGCTAGCACCTGAATGCCAGTACTGTAGTACAGCGAGCAGACACACACATCAAGGGTTGGCAAATGTCACCGCTCTCGCCACTTCTGACGTTTTTACACTAAACAATCTGCGCTTCGCAGAGCGTCTCGCCCACAAATGGCACGGTTTAGTAAACCTATGGGCACTTGCACAAATTAAAAGTATTTTGACGTTATAGTACACGTAATAAATAAATATATTGGTCAAAATAGTCAACGAATTCAACAGGTATTCCCTCGCTGGCTGTCACTTTCCTGCCATCAGTCTCATTTACGGTATGCCGCAACATGACACACATCTAAAAATTACGCGAATCGGTATTGGAAAGTAAATAACTAACCCGAATCTATACATTGTTGCAAAATATATCATATATCTGTATTTATTGGGTGTAATATTATCTATAAATTTTAATATAAACTGTCAACATTTTACGACAAACAATAGACCAATTTACGGTATTTAGGTGCGTCATTCTAATATTTTGCAATGGCTTCTAGTTCTGACTCGATGACAGATAGCAAGACAAATAGCCTTTCAAATAAATCTGAAAGTCAGCAAGGCGAGGATATTCCACACAACGAAATAAAGGGCTGGTTACTGAAGAGGGCAAGATTATCAAGAAAATGGAAGCGTCAATGGTTTCTGTTGAAGAACTGTGATCTATTTTACGGCAATAACCCAGAGGTAAAAATGGAATTGAATATGAATATGACATTCATATTCGACTGAAATATGTTCACAAGACATGTATGATGTACGGTGGTGTAATGATGGGCTATACTATAATATGTCATGCTATGACAATGTACTTACATTCAACAGGTTTTTAATCCACGTTTCAGTGAACACATTGTATGCCACCTTTCTACTAACTGATATATTATTCATATTGGAAATATATCATTGAGTATGATTGAGGAAGTAGTGCCCAAACGATTCCAAGTTGTATTACCAGGATGCATTGAATTAAAATGAATTGAGTTTGATATTTGAGGCATGGAAAACTTCAAGTATTTAGTTGTTAGAAAATATAATACGATCATCCATAATTAATAACTGTGGACTTATATATTGGTTTTTGTTAGAAGTTAAGCTTATAAAATAAGGCCATGAGGGAAATAGGTATTGTAGTAAGTTTCTGTGTCACTTCAAGAACTAAATAAGCAATTACGTATTTAAAAAAAAAAAGATGTGTTGTTAAGTTGAAAAAAAAAATATATAAACTTACTTCATATGTGATGGAATATTAAATATTAAACAATATAGGTCACAAAACATGTAGAAACATGTAGGCTATTGCATAATGTTTCTTCAAGTTACTGTTTAAATGATCTTTCAGGGATTAACTCACATTGGCCATCTCAGACAATGGTAAAAGAAAACAGTTGCAGTCCCAGCCAGGGGCGGACTGGAGGCGCGAGAATATTTTGAAAAAGTGATTGTAAATGGTACTTTCCACATAAACTTACATGTAGAGTATATTCTGATTTTTCTAGCTAATGCACAAATTTAGCATGTGTGGTAATCTCACTAATTCATCACAAACAAACGATGTATATTCAATTTTCAAGATTAAAAAGGGACCGCAAATTATGTGAAAATATTAACTTCTTTAAGGCTACCATACCCACAGGTTCCTTCTGGGTCCGACTATTTAAATTTAAAAGTGTCCATATTTTGTATTTGCGGTACCGTTGTAATCAACTCCTCGTTTCAGTTTTAAACAATATGTCCAAATGAATAAATTATAAGGCATACTTATTATGACATCTAAACCTTCAAAGGTAGATTTCCATTATTCTGAGACATGAATTAGAGCTGGGCAATATTTTGATGTAAAACCGTCAATGAAACAAAAACCGTCAAAAATACTGTAAAACCGCACATATCGCGATATATCACAGTTTTAATTTTTTGGGATGGTATTTAACATAATTATTGAAAAACTGTCCTCCTTTTAATGTTATTTACGATATTTTATTGCTTTATAAAGAGCGTTATTTTTGTCACATGACTTCTCGCTCACCTTTCCACCCGACCGATACCGTAACAATTATCCCTGTTTCTGTTCAATTTCTATGCGTCTTGATAAATTGTTTATACTAATACTTTGGTTTTCCAAAGGAATCACTGATTTTCTGATTAAAGTAAATTTTAATTAAACAGAAATATAAATAATGCCAACTATATAGAGAGTATTGATAGACTGATTATCATTCAGCGCTGGAAGTGTCATGGCGGTCCGTGATTCGAAAAATCACTATTTGACTTAATCAATGGATACTTTTTGACATACATTTAGTAGGCCTACTTATGTTTTATAGTTTGATTTAGTATTCTTGTATTCAAGAAGGTATACACTTGATAAGAAAACATGAGTTTGCAGGAATAAATGAATAGCATCCAATCATACCCGTATCTATAAAGACAGGCACAGTCGAAAGAACACAAACTATTTTTTATGTTTTTTTTACTTTTTTGTGCCTCCTGCATATGTAAATATATTGGAAATTAAGATTGTAATAAACAACAACAACATAGATCAACAGTTTTAGCAAGTCTTCATGGCTATATAGATCTATGTTTGAACCAGCTCATTAAATTTTGCTTGTAAATTCATTACTGTATTTATGCTAAAAGCTTTTTAATACTATTGACTAGAAAGTGTCAAGTGAATACTCCAGGTTTTTTTTCTGAAAATATTGCAATATCTGTTTGCAGGGATATCGCCCAGCTCTAGGATGAATGAATAAAAGCAGGTTTTAATAACTGAAAATTATGATCATACACTGATTGCAAGATCTGATGAAAATGGAAATAATGTAATTGACTTTTAAGCTACAAAGAGTTATGGGCACTTTGTTTTTATTTTTGTCACCTCTTCAAACTAATTTTCAACAGCTAGAAAATTTTATCTCTGTCATTGAAGCTTTATAATCACTCTACTTTTTTTTAACCTCCTGCGACACAATTGTATGACTCGTCATAAACATGAACCATTTAAAATACTGGTACACAGTTGTGCACCAGAGATCGCATTGAGTAATTTTAACGAAAAAGGAATCCCTTGTAAATTACAATATTGTGACAGGTGAATATATAATAGAAATATCGATTCAAAAATGGTACAATTCCTTTCAGTATTTACAAAGATATTTTGAATTGAAATTTCATCGATCTGTGCTGCTGCCATTTTATTGTGGGCGAACAGAAATGATAGGCCTATTGTAATGCGATTGAATCCAAGCTGGGAGGTTATCTAGCGTTGGTATTTTGATTTTGTTTTCTTAATTAAATGTTGAATAATCGGAGTATATTAGCATGGATTAAGCTGTTCCTTTCAAGGTTCCTTGTAATCACTCTCAAAGGTCATACTTCTTGAACCAGAAACTGGTTGTGTTGTTGTGTACACTTGGTAATCTTCATCTTCATTTTGTGCCTAATGTGGCGCTATTTCAAAGAATCTCAGCATGCATGTGCATTGATTGACAGACGTCGATTTTTGATATGAGGTCCCAATTCCAAGATAATTGCGATGGCATCATGTTCGCTTTCTGCTTCGTATAGTTACACTCATATTTGAATAGGATTGTCTGGTGGGCATGCTTTGTTGCATATATCAACCTATTTTGAATTAAATTCTATGAATATGATTGAGCATTAAAGGAAATGGTCTATCTGATTCTATATTCTTACAAATAATATTAATAATAATCATTTATTATTGTGCATTTATTATAGTGCAACATTTCAAACTCGAGTCTGCTCGGTCCTAACACTGAAAAGTTTTGTTAAGCAAAGTTTTGAAATTATATACTGTTTTATGATGTCCCCAAACTCTAAACCTTTGTTTTTATTTTGTGTGTCCTATAAATTAAGTGTTAATCAGGCTTCTACCATTTCCAATTGTCAATTGGTAAAATGAGTAACGTCAAACTCATAAACACACACTTTTCATGTCATGTAACAATATCATTATATTGGTTACTATGGTAACATAAGTTATGATATATACATATTTATATTGATTATTCTATTAGACTGAAACCGGCACATGTATAAAAATTCCTGTGAGTCATTCAGAAGTCTTATGATGGTTTGACTTCTAAATTTGTTGCAGAATAAAACCCATACATTGTTCAAGTTTACTCTGTAATCTGAACCGGAAATTGTCCTGGTTGCAAATTCAGAAAACAAGATTGATAAGGTTGCCGTTAAATCAAAAATGTTTGTGTCTTACATGTATAGTACATGAAAAAGAATGACATTATGAAATGACGCTACCTTTAAGTAACCATGTACATGTACTTACACAGAACATTATCATACGGCCTGTCATCGATTCAATTGAAGTAGTTTAGCCTTGTTGCTTGTAGGGGTTGTCTTTGGCATCTTTCCACTGTTAAAGACCTGTGACCTACATGTGGTTTGTGTTGAGGTGTTTTGAAATGCCATGTTTTCAGAACAAATTCCATCCTACCTTAGAACAAGTAAGAGTGTACCATATTATGAACCAGGAACCATGCGTGACATCGCAGCCATCTTGGAAATGACTGTTGATGTTCAGTTGCCAAAAGGTCAAGCATACCAATTCTACTTGTATTGATGGAGTCTTAGGCTTTTTTTGAAGGAACAAGGAAGATTACCAACTGTATGCAACCAGTCTCTGGTTCAAAAATGATAACATAACGTGCACTGGGTGTGAAAACAGTAGCTAAGAGTAGGGTCGCTTGCCTAGTAGTGCTGGCGCGTGAATGGATGTATCGCGATTTATCTTCTCATGTTTCGCGTATTAAATCGCAAGACAGTGAATCGATGCATCACGATTCTTCTTTATGTTTTTTTTTTGTCACTTCAGTAAGTAGGTACACAAACACTCTTAAATTATTTTGGTCCTTATTTTGATACACATCAATATGGTGATATAAAACAGTTTTATTTCGTCAAAATCGGCAGGAATAAGAATATCAATTCTTCATTTATCCTGTTGTTTTCTTGGTAAATATTGACCTGGTTATCGTGATATGAATCGTATCGCAGCACCTGAATCACAATACGTATCGTATCGATACTGCAGTGGCAATGTCCAACACTATTGGCTAGACTTGTGGTGTTCATTTTTGTGCATTCTCCAGTGTACTCAAACTAATAAAGTTTCTGGAACTACTTTGTGTTGAGTGTACGTCAAACCCCATTTCTATTTTTTTGAACTCTTTGAAAAAACAATTCTTCACGTGACATACTAGACAT